CACACCAATCTAAGTCTCATGCTCATACTGGCAATCCTCCATCGATCATAAATCTATCGTGGAACTCTGAAAGACCGCCATGACAATTTTCGCCACCTCTCGATCCCTTGGTCTTGCAGCCAATGACACACACACCTGATCAACATCATCGCATCTTCTGTACTATCTCTCACGCCTTTTAATCTATCTCGCCACGATGAATCCAGCTGCCGCCTTCGGGTCCATGGATTTGCCAACCCCTACGCCAGCGGCCGTCGCCGCGCCTGCGCCCGTGCCCACACCGGTACATGCCGCAACGCCTGCTCCGATGCCACCACCTGCTGGTTCGGGCTCAATGCCATTCCCCTCGGCTTCAGCCCCTGGATCCGGCTCGACTGCCGCTCCCATGTCCAGCCACGGCCCCAGTCCCGGTACTGGGGGCCACCTTGCACACGGCCATGGGTACGCCCACGGTCACAGCAACCCGCCCGGCCTCGGCCTCGGCCCCGACTCTCACAATGCCATGTCTTCTCAGAGCCGCCCGTGTGACATTTGCCGCCAGCGCAAGACCCGATGCGTTCGTGAGGAGGGTCGCGACAAGTGTGTCATGTGCACCTTCCACGGCCAGCCTTGCACCTACCTCCGCGGGCCCTTGCCTCGCAAGCGCCGCAAGGCTACCGATCCCGCCGAGCACCGTTCTCAGCCCAACGGCTCCACTGGCGCTTCTTCATCGGCAGCTTCGGCTTCAGGCCCGACCTCGGTACCGGGCGCAGCCTCGACATCTGTTCCCTTGCCCCTGGACCATTACGAAGACCTCGAGTATGTATAGGCAAACCGCTCTCGCTTTCATTCACTGACATGCGTCAGGCAAACGTCACCAGAACATCTCGAGGCTCTTTCTCCCTCGCTCGCCGGCTCAGACCAAGTCGGCTACTCCTACATTCACCATCAGCCCTCTCTACTCGATGGCACTCTCGGCCTGCATCTCAAGACGCACTCCGAGTATATCGGGTTGACCAACTACAGAGAGCCGTGCCTGCTCGACCTCCACCGCGCCGAGGACTCGACCGCCAGATCTGTCCGCCGTCTCGATGACCAGACCGTCTTCCTTATCCACAGAGACAAGGAAACGACATCGGAATCCCAGCGCATAGCTGATCTCGATGCCATCGAGAAAGTTGTTCATCCACTGGGCTCGTCCCTTGTCAACCTCTACTTCCGCATTGTACACCCCAGCTTTCCTATCCTCCACAAAAAAGTGTTCCTCGAGAAGTATGCCCGGTCGTATCACGAGTTCTCCCCGCCATTGTTGGCTGCTGTCTATCTACTCGCTCTCGACTGGTCTCTGTACGACCGCACACTGGCGACATCCTCCTGGCAACCAGATCAGACGGCTCTCGAAGCTCTCGCTTTACGAACCATGAGTGATGACATGAAGCGGCCGAAAATTTCAACTCTTCAGGCTGGTCTTCTGATTCAACAACGTGCAAAGAACAATACCTGGAACGTCACTGCCCAACTCATCGCCTTATCCCAGGGTCTTGGTCTTCACGTAGATTGTAGTGACTGGGCCATTCCAGACTGGGAGAAGGGACTTCGTCGCCGTCTTGCCTGGGCCCTGTTTATGCAAGACAAATGGGGGGCTCTCGTTCACGGCAAGCCGTTTCTTATCCGTCCGAATGAGGACTGGGATGTCCAGCCATGTTGCATCGAAGACTTTCCCGAAAATGCCGCTGACGAGACACGATCCGGAGGGCAGCTCCGAAGTAGTCGTCG